ATCATCTCTCTACCAACATGTCCATTTAAATCTCCTCCAATAAGAACTTTCTTCTAAAAGTATCTTTTGTAGTAATTCATCTAAGTCATACTAAAAAATTAATTTAGAACTCATATCCAAACATATTTGAGGAGCATAAGCACTTATAATATTAACAATCTTATCATTAACAACAATCTTTAAAAATATAATTCTATCTACAATCCTATTAATTTTTATAACATTATCCTTCAAACTCTTATCTAAAATAACACATACATCATTTCTAGTACGAATCATACCCAAATACTAAAGCTTAAATCTTAAACTATCAATTTCCTTAGCCTTCTCTCCAACCCATTTAGTTTCCTGAATGCACAAAATATTTATCTTCCTATGAATCAAAATATCTATTAATTTCATTAATTTTTCTGTAAGGGAACTTATATTCCAAGTTCCTATCCTAATTTTAGTTTCATGGACTAGCTTCTTTGCCCATATCCGTCCTTGATGTGGGAACCCTTGCCTATTTAACACTGCACTCAAGCGCCGATGCAGCGGCCCTTGCGCACTTGTCACTGTATTCAGTCCATACAGCGCGTTACTTCCAGGGGACGCCCTAGCATTAACATAATTTCTTAAAGGATTCATGTCATTATTATTCAACAAGTTTTACGCTGGCTGTCGACTACCTAACGCAACCCTCCACTTTTCTCATCCAGGATAACATGGAAGATACTTGTTTAACCATGCTCGTTTATTTGAAACAATCATCAATTGTCTTGGAGATATTCCAAGTACCTCCGGCCATTACACCAGGTCTACTTCAACAGCCAAAGATGAAGCATGCCATATTCAACAAAGAGCAGCAACAAAAGCACAAATAATAGGTACTCCGGATCCAAGGGTTTTTTTTTTAGTTCGGCACTCCCAAAGGCAACCAAAATCTCTAGGGGAAGAAGATAAGGAAAAAACTCTAAACAAGGAAGAAGTTGTTGCTCCCCCATTTAGCCTGTTCGATTATTTATAGATTTTCCAAAGTGTAATACAGGGCATAATCTAGTAATTGTCAGTTCGATTATGATGCAAGAATCAACAATTGTACTACAACGACACGAATAAGTTTCAGAAAATTAGATATGACAACTTCTAACTACCCTAACAACTCATAAACTTGTTAACAAGCCAGCTGTTACTTCATTTGCTTGTTTGCTTGTTCATCCCTTGTTGTCAATAACAGTTATATGTTTATTTATTTGGACTGAAAATCTACGAACCATTTCAGCACTCTTCTTATCCTTGGTTTTCAACCTTTTGATGAACTCGGAGAGCTTACAACATGCAAAATAATCTAATACTATGCCAACTGATGAACCCCAAAGCTAGTAAATAAAAATATTGAAAATATGATCCATCAACTGAATTTAGATGACAAGTGAAGTCAAAGATGTGTGCACTTACATTGCCTTTTAATTGATTAATTATCTTTAGTCTGATTGCATCTATAGTGCCATCATTCATTAGAGATTCTAGTACATCTTCAGGTGTTATCACAGAACCACCCATTACGCATCAACAAGCCGCTTCAGAGTATTCTCCCTTCAATAAGCTTATATATCCGCTCCAAATAGTTCACCTGCGCAAGTCAATAAGCTATGTTCAATGAGAACCGTAAAACAAACTGCAAGCAACCTTAGCATAGACATATTGCATGAAAAAGATTTAGCCATAAATTTCAAAAAGTATGAAGGCTAAATTCCTTGAGCAAAACGTACGAATGCATATTGCTATAGTGAAGGATGAATAAACAAATAAATATTAAAAAACCATTATCAGGGAAAATGCACAATTTATCGCCAAAGATCAAATTTTGTCTAGTGATTCTCCTCAAAATTACAGATACGTGAATCTCCTCAAAATTACAGATACGTGAATTATACTGTGGTCGAACTGAACTTCAAAATTCGATATAAAGCCCCTGGTAAAGAGAACACGCCTTGAAACGTGACTGTACACTACAAGGAATCGCACATCCAATAACCGATTCTTTTTAATTCGGTTAAACAGAGAAACACAAGCATGTCTATGATGTCTGGAGCTCTTTAAATTGACACGATTTGATTGCAATTTGAAGATATGAAGCTAAAAACCCAACCAACGAGTAAGGGGCTGTTTGGTATCGGATTTATCGTGGGATTTAAGTCGGATTTACGCTAAATCCAGCCAAACGGCTTTTGTGCGCGTGCTAAATCCCGGATTTAGATTTACGGCTTAAATCTTGGATTTACTAAATCCCTCGGTTCGGCGGATTTAAGGGGATTTAGCCGAAGAAGCGCGCGAAAGGGAGAAAGTTACCTTCACGGCCAGCGAGCTCCCGTTCTTGCTTCCGATCAAAATGTCGTAACTTCCGATCCGACAGGAAGGGAAAGTCGTCCAAGGAGCGAGATCGAACAGCCACGAAGTAGCCGAAGAAGCGAAGCGTGCAATCTATCCACCTCTGCAAAGCAACGAAGTCTAACAGCAACGAAAAAGAGAAGATAGGCAAAACCCTTGACGCCTCTTAAGGTAATATCGGTTAACTTAATTAATATAATTTAAATTATTAATAATTAAGTAAATTAATTAAATAATTAATTGTATAATTAGAATGACTAGAAATTTAAGACCTAAATGGGATCCCGTAATCCCAGTGAGCGAGAATCAACAGCGACTAACAGCACGATATAGACGATAGAAGCGAAATCTAGGTGGAAGCTTCAATTGTTATATGGCTGATTAGAGCGCCCCTAACCCCCTTTTATTAACGCCCTTTAATTAACAAATTTTTTTTTTTTCTCATTGGTTGGAAAGCTAGGCTTTTATCATTTGCTGAGAAAGTTCAATTTATAAAGTTTACTATTTCCAATGTGGTTTCTTATTGGATTACAGGGCTTTCTTTAAATCCAGTTTCAAATATATCAAGAAAATATGTTCTAATTTTGTTATTTTATGGTGAAGTGGATATTAGGCGAATTTATATGATTGCTTGGAAGGATGTTTGCAAACCGAAAAAGGTTGGAGGATTAGGGATTCCTAATCTTAATGCATTAAGATTTGCTTTTGGTTGTTCCCTTATTTGGCGTGTTGTGAATAATTTGGGTCCATTAGCTGTTTGGTTTAAATTTAAAAATAACTCTTATTGAAAGCCTTGCTCTAAGAAGGACTCGAAATTTTGGAAAGATCCTTGTGGAATTGCCAGGGAAATTAAAAGTAATATATATTTTTTTAATATTACATTGAATTCTACTTTATCCATGGCTTAAAGGGAAAGATTTACATGAAATTATTGTTTCTAATGATGATTCTTTGTTTAATACTAGTCTTGTTAGGAATTGGATTAACAGTAGTTGTTGGGATATTTCGCGATGCATGCCTAATTATTTTGTTGTGACCATTTCAAGTATTTCTATTTAGAATAAGGTTTTATCTGTTATTTCTTAGAATAAGGTGAAGTTTCCTATTTTCAAGAATTTTTAAAATGCTTTTCATAAGAATTTTTCTAGAGTAGATTAGTATTCTTATATTTGGCATAAAAGGTATGCTTTGAGATATTCTTGTTTTGCTTAGATGAAGATGATTAATGGATTGAAAATGGCTAATCTTTTAGTGATAAGAAATATTATTGTACCTTTAAATTGTATTCTTTGTGATAAAGGGGCTGATTATTATGGGTTCAAAAAATTTGGACCCAACCTCCCCCATTGCTTTTCGGAGGGAGTTTTAATGGATTAAGTTCTGAGGTAAATTTTGGGAAGTCAAATTAGGTTTGAAGATAAGACACTACCAAGAGGTTTCACCCTCATTTTGAGATGACTTTGATATGAGTTCTGGCTTCCTATAGGCGCAAGCCCATATAGTTAATTACCACTCCTAATATGAGAGAGAATTTTTTATTAAGGCTAGTCGTGAATCATATACATATAAATATGTGTTATCTGTCATATCATAGTAGCATGCGCTTTTAGAATGGTTAGAGAATTGATATTTAAAATTAAAAATTTTATCATCTTGCACTAAAAGTAAATTGTGGGGGAATGAATGGTGGACCCGATCAAGATGCCATGGTTTCGTCAATCTGGGCCATCATAATCCCTGGTCTACTTAGTTAGAGGAGGTAGTCGGCCCAACCTGATAGAAGGATTCTTGTCGGCAGCCAAGGGTACATTGTATACTTGTGGGGAATATTTGTCTAAGGGGATAAATTTGAATCCAACTTAGCTAACAGAGGGCTTTGTGCCCTATCGATAATATCCTATTGATTCATATCTCAATGGTTTGATGCCATTGGGAAGCATATGGGCTATGGCCATAACCATAATGTAGTGGTGCCATTTGACGATAAACCACCTGGTTCAAAGAGCCCCGGTCATAACTGTTTACATGTAGTGCCATTTGGTGATAAAACTGCAAGTTATAGGACATGTGCCACGTCCTCGCTAGCACATAAGTGTTTGAGAATGAATCATAGTAATATTCTCTACTAGACCTTAGTTCTTTGTGACCTAAAGTATTTTTTCAATTTGTCCACCTCCGCAAACTATTGCGGAGGGTGGATGGATTTTTGTTTTAAGTAATGGAATGGTTGATTTTAATTTTATATATTTTGGGTTTTGGTAGTTTTTAGAGTTTTTAGCTTTGAGCTTTGGAAACTTTTCAATTTTTGAATTTTTATGGGCTTTTAGAAGACATTTTAAATATTTGGAATTAACCCCTCCAATTTAGATCTACGTTTAATATGGCCATCATCGGGGTGTTTATGGAGTCATTTCAGGAATTTCATTTTATTGATTAAACCTTATCGAGTCTGTCAGTTTGTCAATAAAGGATCAGGTTTGTGGGCTTTATATTTTTGTTGATTTTTTTTTTTTTGTTATAGATCTTGAAGTCCTAATATAAACGTATAAAATAGATATTATGGTTGACACCTTGTCCATATATCTATTTGATAGTTTGAGCAGTTTCGACTTCTATTTATCCATATATAATGATTTGACTCAAAGTTGGGTTCATTTATTAATCAGCATAGCATCCATAGAAGTCACGTATATACCCATAACATGCTCGTCGGGGCTCATGCGGGCATACAATTACTCATGAATTTTTGTATATCTATGTGTATACATATTACAGTGCATGTGCGGGAAACATTCTTGGATGTACAACATGTCTCCTTTAACAGCTTTAAAATCATGTGTTTTTTATAATCCTTTATGTATTTGTTCATAGATGAATTGTTGGGTGCACAATGGGTTTTTTGTAGCAATCCATAGGTGTTTACATTTGTCGTATATTCTCTATCCTCATTGATAAACAGCTTGTTATTCATACAGTAAATTTAGTGCAACGACCCGTAGGTGTTTTAAACCAGTTATTCATCTTCTATTCTTGTTTGGTTATAGGGGATAAGTATATTCATTGGTCGCTGTACTACTACAGGCATTACGAATATTGCAGGAATTATTGCATACTTCTATATTCGTCTATAGAGACTGTTATCAACTATAGGAAACATTCATTTGTATGTTGATGCTGATTGCTAGGTGAGTTATATTCATTGTTGTTGTACCCCACATACGTTCACCAGCAACTCACTATGTTCATTGTATTTTGACACTATAGTTGCAGCTTCCCTACTATCGTTGCTTAAATGTGGCATATTCATTTGTCATTCATAAATCTATTGCATGTATTATGCGTGATGGATCTTCTAGTACTGTCTTCAAGTATTTACATTGACTAATAATCTTTTGTAATTATCTGTAGATGGCATGTTATATATATGACTTTGTCTCTCATAACATCTCATAGGTTCTTGCATTTGCTACATTCCACCTGTATTTACTTGTTGAAGATCGATGCATTTGACTATCATTACACGGTTCTTAACTATAAAGGTGTTGTAGCATCTACTGTTTGTTGCTAATTGACACTTGTAAGATTGATACTAGTGTCAATTTTTTATTGATATCACTTGTATATGATTTGTAACGATTATTAGGATGTTCTTGTGCATTTATTTGCAACCAATTAATATCGCTTTATTTTTTATTGTTTGCAAGCAAATCATGCATTTCCTTTGAGAGCAACATATCATGGCATGGAATTCAATCAAGTTGTGTACAATTCATCATTACTTGTAAGCAAGTAGAATTTGCAAGTCTCTTATTGTCCACAAATTCCATATATTTTCTCTTGCATTTAACTTGGATCTTATTATTTTATAAATCACAATATCATTTTAAATGCCATTTTTATTTGTTTTCATCTTAATTCAAGTTTTAGTTCAGTTCAGTTATTGTTCAAATTCAAGTGCAAGTCTTTGTAATTTGGTCCAAATAATGTTCATAAGTCCTCTATTAATTTGTCCACTTCTTCATGCATTTTAGATAAAGTTTGGTAGCCTCTCGGCATCTGCCCAGTTTAGGAGAAACTACATGAGTCATAGCCTGCACGTCACATCAAAAAAGATGTGCACGGTTGGTGTTGGGGGACATCACGACCGTAGTCTTCATCCCCCACCACGTCAAGAAAGGCGTGTGGTTATTCAAAAGAACCTGTTTAAAAATGCAATTTTTCCCCGACGGTACTGAGGAGCGTACATGCACTTATATTTTTGTCCCATCGTACTAAGAAAAGTGAGCATATGGGGTCTCTTGGTGCCCTGCAAACAATGAAAATAAGATTTTTTAGAGATTCCCTACCTCGCCATAAGCATCGCGACGAACTTCCCCCAACCATGCTAAGAAAAGCGTGTATAAATGGTTGTTCATCGCGCTACATGTGTCGAGGACATGTTTATGGGTTTAGAATTTTATAGCTGCATAGAGGGACGTCGGTGGAATTGAGATGCATATCAAGGCGATGGAAGCTTTTTCACTTTTCCATTTTCTTTTTGTTTTAATTGATTATAAATAAGGAAATTTAAGTATAATTATTTATGATTAATAATAATTAATTACCATTAAAAAATAATTAATTATAATTTAAATATGACTAATTAATAATAAAGTATAATTAAAAATAAGTAATCATAATTAAATTTAATTAACTATGATTAATTTCCAATTAATAATATTAAAGTATATTTAGAAATAGTTAATTATAATTAATAATAACTTTAAAAATAAGAAATTTTAATTAAATCTAATTAATTATTATTAATTTAAATAGGATTTCAACAAGATTTTAATAGGATTTATGTATTTTTTAGCAGGATTTGAGCTAATTCTTGTTTAACCAGTAGGATTCAGTAAACTGTTATATCTCACAGCAATTGAATCCTCTTTTTCCCTCTTTTTTACCATAAATCCAGACATGATTTACAAATCAGGATTTAGGGAATGTTAATTCCCACAACAAATTAAAGCCTCCATTTCCCACATTTCGACTCAATAGATTTGCAGGACTTGGTCGAAGAAGCATGCGAAAGGGTGGGAGTTACCTTCACAGTGAGCGAGCTCCTGCCTTTGTCGAGGCTTTCGATTCAAAAGAAGGGGTCGGCTAGGGCTTA